TTAAATGTCTGGTTTGTTGCCTGTATATAAATTATGATTTTAGACACCAACATCATATCTGTAGCTTATTTAGTTCCAATTATATGCACATTTTAGATAAATTTGGCGGCCATTTTGAAAAATGGCAGCCATTTGTATACCAGGTGAAAAATCAAGTGTCAACAGGGCTTAGGGTTACCACGACGGATTAATTAGGATATCTGGCTATGTTGACTGCTTCTAACATTCCACTCCCCCTAACTTGATTTCTAGGCCTCTTTTTTGATTTTTTTCCTAGTCTATCTTTGAAAGTAGTCGATCGACAAATCGAGAATCATGATCATGATAATAAATTCGTGATTTATTATATAAAAAATTGTCTGCCAAAAAAAAAACAAAAAAAAAACCCACAAAATTGTTAAAGATTTTAAAAAACAGTAGTTTTTCGATGATTTACATCCTAAACAACATTGATTACAAATTTATGAATTTATTATCATGGTCAAAATCACTTTTTTACTTAATTATAACATGGCCGGCGGAACCGGGGGCCGGGCCCCCCCCCCCCACTTTTTGGCAAAAAAATATATAATGTCTGGAGATTTTTGTATAATCGGAAATGCAAAAAAAAAAGGAGGGAAGGAGGAGAAAGATGGGAAATAGAATGTTTATCCGGTACCCGACCGAGTTTTCTCGCAATTCACATTGGCGGATCTGGGGGAGGAGGTCATGGGTCCTGACCCCTCCCTTGGACAACAAAAAAAGGGGAAAAAGAAAAGAATTCTAGACCTACCTTTTCAGGACCCGTGAGCTGATTTTTTTTTTTTTTGCAATTAGAAAATTAGAATTTTGAAGAACATAAAATTAATTAAAACACACTTCAAATGTCGGGAAAGCTAATTTCCTGTCATCTAGGAATCAAAATTTTCCCGGGGGAGAACGCCCGGACCACCCTTTCTTTTTGGGATTTATCGATTCATGGAAAAAAGAAAACGTATGCAACTACTCATTTGTTTATGTATGTATACACACATAAAATAAAATATTACTGAATAGAAAATGAAAGAAATTCTTTGTCCAATATTCGAAAGTTCGAATATCAATTGCGTATTCCTGAAGTTACTATTTGGCAGTGCATACATAGCAGGTCTAGATCCATGAAAAGTCGTATACTGTATAAAGATCTTTATATTTGCACAAGTAATTAAAATTATTGAGCAGATCACACTGATAAACAATTGTACAAATTCGGCTGATGCATATGAACTTCTATTTAGAGACATAATTTCATCATTTTCTTTCCAAAAATCTTAATAAACGTTAACTAGCACCTCATATCGACTTTTGAATGGTAAAAATCGGCTCAGTATAACCCAATTTACAGAGTACAAATTTTAAGTTAATAGAATATACTGCTGCCGTTACATCTTCTAGTTTTCCCCCACGGTTGTATTTAGGTACACGCTACAGTACACACAATGAGCCTACAACTTTGCATAGCAGAGCACGAGTGATTCAGCCCACATATTTATATGTCTGAGCAAGAATGGTTTCATGGACCTTCTCAGGACTTTTTCCCTACCCTACATCTTTATATCTAATTTTGCTGAGAGTTCCGCTTGAACAATTTCGTGGAAATTTTGATATCTGCGCATGACATGCTTCCATTGCAAGATTCATAATGTGAGAAGCATAATCTAGGAAGAGAAGCCGGCAGCTGACTCTCCGGAGTTTTAGAAGTTATTTTATTTTTTATTGTTATATTATTTTGCTTTTTAAGCTGCTGGCACCTACCTATTGTAGTCTTGCTTGATTTTTTATTGCCTTCTTTTTATCTTAAAACAAATGAATGATTGTTAGATAGGATAATTTATTAATGGCATATCAAAAATCCACTCTAGAACAAAAAATCATTTTGCTAGTCCTTCAGGTTTGCAATTCATTATCCACCATCAACTAGACTGCCTAAAAAAAAAAAAAATTGGTTCATGTGGGAATCGAACACACAACCACCAGGTTTGCTATTCATTATCCACCATCAACTAAACTGCCTTAAAAAAATTTTTTTTTTTAAATGGTTTGTGTGAGCATCGAACACACAACCTCCAGGTTTGCTATTCATTATCCACCATCAACTAAACTGCCTTAAAAAAATTAAAAAAAAAAAAAAAAAATTGGTTCGTGTTGGAATTGAACACACAACCACTAGATTTCCCGTAACATGATTAGTCTATTTTTTTCTAATTTGCATAATGAATTTTTCAAACATTTTTGTCTATTTAAAAAAAGTACTTAAGTTATGGAGAAGGTACCAGTCAAAAATCGATTATAAATTTAATTCTACATTTTTAGACAAAAAAACAAACCCTCTTGGCCCACGGCCCATTTTTGACACCATGACCATGCGTAATATTAACCTGCAGTGTATATATACGAAGAATTTTTTCTATAGGATCAGAGTTGACTAACTGGTACTTGGTGTGGTACTAGGTTTATCGCATTTATGGCTTTGGGACCGCGGTTTACCTCCCTCCGTTTAGTCATGCTGGATCAGGAGTAGTAAACTCGGCGATCGTGGGTTCGATTCACACACGAGCCAGTCTTATTTTTATTTTTAAGGCAGTTAAGTTGGTGGTGCTATATACTTATCTGTGAACCCCATGGAATGAGAAGGCATGCCATTGAATGGCGCCCTCTTGCTAAATTGGAAACTTTTGAACCTTGACCGACACTTCTATTTGTTACGCGTAAATCGCGGAGAACGCTATCTTGTGTTTATAAGATCTTTGATGATGATACACTAGTAAATAGTAGGCCGCCTTATATCTAAAATTGCTATAATTATAAAATTATAAATACAGTATGACATACTTATAACTATGTATTCGATGCAGCAATTAAATTCTGTTATCACTTTAATACAGTTAAGGCATAACTACATAATATCGATGTTTATAAAACATACGAAATAATCTAATTAGAAATTACACTGGAATGTCATTGCTCGCATTTGCTTACATGAAACACAAGCTTTTCTTTGTTTATTTCAACAGTCAAACCGGAATGAGTTCCGACTTGCAGACACCGTAAGACACAATTGAAAATATTAAACTCTATACTTTATTCATGTGTAAGTTACAATTTTTCAGGGCATAAAGTTTCAGAATACGTACATTGGAAATACAAAGTGGGGAGGGGTACATGATGGCATTCAGGTTCCCTTCGTTTATGACTGGCAAATGGAGGTGCAGAGAATGTTGACGTGTCCCACTTCGTTTTGAATGCAATACAAAGTGAACAAATGTGTGTCCCTTCGTTTACTGCTAACAGGGTTGCATAAAGAAATTTTATCTCTCCTCAAATTTGATGGTGTTTCATGATGGAATGAGTACCTTCCCCAATTTTAATTGCCAAATACAGTGCATAATAAAATATGTTCCTTCTCTGTGTTTTGATGCAAGTACATGAAAAATGTGTTCCCCTTCACATCTATCATGGCTGCTAAGAGAAATTTGTGCCTCCTAATTTTTATTAAAGAAAATGGTTGCTTAATGGAATGTATGCTGTCCTCCATGTCGACTGTCAAGGGGGTCGCATTCAGGAATGTATGCTTCCCCTTCCATTTTGACTGTCAATGGGGGTTTATAAGGAAATTTGCGCTCTCTCCCTCAGTTTTTACTGCCCGGGTTGATTATTTCTTCACTAAAACATACTGCAAAAATTTAGCCCAACTCAATCCTTTGTACATTTTACCTAGATTTATAATGTTGATCTCATTTGAAAAAGGTTTTTTTTTTTTAAATTCATTCATACTCTTAACATTAGAATCATTTTCACCCTTTTAATGCTGATTTTAACTTTTTTTCGCATTTTCAGCCTTTGTTTTGTAAGCTTTTCACCCATATTCTATCATGAGAGCAATTGTTGTATATGCTGAACCTTTTATTGAATTCATTTTGTTTTTTAATCTGTGTGGTTTCAGCTCAATTATATACAAATGTTTTAATTACTTTAATATTTAATGATATACAGTATATTACACTTTGGCAATGTGTGTATCCAAGCAAGGAATTTCCATTTTGAATAACTTTTTATTATGGACATGCCATTAAATGAATCTTCAAACTTTCAATTCTCAATTCATGTATTTTTTAACTTATGTTTACTTCCAATTTAAATATTATCTAATTGATAAAATTTCATTAATACATTTGAATTTTATGATTGATTATATATTTCAGCAGTTCCTCTCCCATGGTTCTCTGTACTCAAGGTTTAAGTGCTGGAATATTTCCCTCTCATCTTTGGCTGGCAAAAGTTTGTTCTGTTACAAAAGAAAAAAATGGGGAAAATGTATTAGTCCTAAAAAATCAATTACAAAAATGTATAGATAATAGCCAAGAAAATCTTCTCCGTTTAGATGCGAATTAGAGCCTCCCACCTTTAAATTTCCAAATACGACTCCGAGAAGTAAAATAAAAAAATACTTTCAGGATATATGCTCAATTGTTATTGTATTCTAAATGTTTTTATTGACCAAACAAACGATAAATATGATATGATAATATGAACAAATTTTTAATTCCGGAAACAATAACAGACATGAACCATACCGTTGTTTTATCATATAATCCATGACTGGTTAATATCATATTCATCTCTTTCCGTGAGTAATCCCTGATCGATCTTATAAACATTCGAGATCCTGTCCAACCTAGAAGTGCATAAGGGTACTGACTTGCAGGGACCATAATCAGATCAACTCTCCTCGCAACACCACCATTTACTATGTCTGTGCTCTTTAAATGTTGATCACTGCCATTCATTGACTTAAAACATACATCAGAGCTTGAAGGAGTGTTCTTTGAATTCTTTGACATTCTTAAATCTGTCTGTACATGGTCATCTTGTAAATTATTTTGATTACTTGTTTGTACCACCTCTTTCACAAACTTATTCACCAGTTTCTGGTCAGAAATTTCAACACTGTTACTCATGTTTGGTAAATTTCTTTCAATTGTTGTTCCTCCACCTTCTCCAACATGTGGACAGCTATTATCTATATCTCTCTCAATGTTGTCTGCCAACATTGATTTTTGGAGGTTAAAAACACTAAAGCATCTGGCATAGTGATCCATGTGGCCTTTCCGTGCATCCGTAGCGGTATACATTGCATCTGAATAGCTGTTTCCTTTAGTGCCGGTGTAAATGAGAAGATTTCTAGAGTGAAGTTTGTGAAGCAGCTTTTGTAGTAGTCCATTCTCTCTGCCTTCCTCTGGGTGAGATATCAACAGATCCACATCATGACCAACTTCTTTGCCTCTAAATAATATTAGGTACACTGAATTATTATTTTTTACTGGGTAACCTGTTCAGTAGAAACCTATTCTCCTCCCAGCTTTTCTTTTATAAACTAAGACTCATAAGGCGGCATAAAGTCAGGCCCCAGAGGAAAACAAATTGTGGATATAACAACTGGGAGGAGAAGGTGGAAAAAAGGGTGGTTATGCCCAGGTGTACAACACATCAATTTTTTCTTCCAGAGCCTGGCCTGAAAAATATCCTACTGTAACAGGAATTGAACTTAGGACCATGAAATTAGATTGTGCAAGCATCTTAAACACCAAGGTATTCCACTTTTAGAGTGTTGGTATGGAATATTCAGTTTGTATAATCCACATATAAGTTTATTGTTCATTTATAATTTTTGTCAATTGTTTTAATCATATTATTATTATTGTATCTGATGCATCATACTTGCTGATGCGGCCACATTTATGACAGTAATTATTATTAATACAAGTAATATGAGATGACTTTAATAATAGTCAACATTTACCTGCTGAAGCCCCCTGTGATAGCGACAGTGGTTCCTGGTAGAATTTCTACAGCTTCTTCATAAACTATTTTCTTAATCACTTCAGCTTCCTGTTGACTAACAGGGGTGTTCAAATCATTGTAGCATTCAATACCTGATAAAGAAAATGAATCACTAAGTGGCGTGTACCAAGGAAGCAAATATCATAATCATTATTGTATAAAATATTTGACAATGACTATTTAGTTAAAGCTCTGTCCACAAAAAAAACTGTTGTATGCCCATATATAGCCGTGATGTCATCATGACCATATTTAGGCATATTTTACAGGGCTTTAGACTGAAATGCATTCAAGGAAACATTCAAACCAGATACTCATCTGTAATCCTTGGAGAAAGAAACATGCCCATGTAAAATGCCTTTCAAAAGGACACCGTGAAAAGACCAACATTTTATAACATACATTATAAGTCAATTGTGACACCATCACTGCAACTCCCAATGTTATTTTACTATCCCCAACCATGCACTAATTTTCATTAGTGCACAGTTGATCATTTTTAGGTTCATGTGCAAAAGGCCGATTCAGTGTATGATATGCAACTATTCTAATTGCTTATTAATATCTGATGCACATATTGTACTTTTCTGTTACATTGTTACATACCCACCTATTTTCTGTTCCTTGGTTAAAGTACTTGACATATTTTCCTTCACATCTTCCAAAGTTCGACATCCTTTTTCATACCATTTCTTGGCAGTAACTGGTCCACATCCAAACACACCAGTAAAAATCTAGTTGTGGAGAAAGAGCGTTCAATTAGAAATCAACACTAGCTTGAAACAAATAAGATATTAAAAGATGATAGAAACAGAAAATATTTATATTTCATACAGGAGAATTAGTTCATGAAAAGAATCATCATGTATTGTATGTATAATTAAAGTCAGGCTTCGGAGGAAAAATATTTTAGATATGTTGTACAACTGATTTTTCCAAGACATAAAGAGCATTTAAATTTTGACAAAAAACGTTTTTTTTAACACCTTTTCCCCCCAGTTTTTAAATATTCAAAAGCCTGTATCTCATTAAACATTTCAGAGCTTTTCGTCAAACACCATTTTTGTGTCTTAGAAAAATCAGTTATACAACATATCAAAAGATGTTTTTCATCCAGAGCCTGGTTTTACAACAGTAAAATATTAAGTTTATCTTATCTTATCTTTTTGGCAATCCTTAGCTGAAACAAATAAATAAATGAATTAATACCTGCATTGATTTGTACCATTCATCACTAAGAATCTTGTCAACTTCTGAACAGAAACCATCCTCAAGAATTTCCTTTAATAAACCGAATATTGAGCATAAAAGTTATGATATTATTGTATTCCATTGTCTTACTTTCATTCAGTAGTGTATCTAAAAATACTCTTCCCCCACCCCCAGACGCTTCCCCAAAAATAATGGTCAAGTATTTAAAAATCACCGCAAGCTGCCTCCCCTAAACCATCATCGAGGCCCCCACTTCACCTTTGCCCCACGGCCCCACGGTCGCTCTGAGGCAAAACAATGGAAATTGATATTTTTGTCGATTTTGAAATAATATAATTTAGGAGTATATTAAACACTTCTGAATTACCAATAATCTTAACAGTGATGTATGAACAAGCTGGATAATGAATGCGACTGCCTCAAACGTGATTTCAAAAATATGTCGTACTTGCAACAATAACGAGCCTGACATGTTTCTGAGGCAAAGCAATGCATCTGTGAATATTGCTAATAACCTTGCAATAAACAAATGGCTGTAACTAAAATTTGACATATAATCACAATGTATGTAGATATACAATCCTCCAAAATTTTAAAAGGGTATGACAATATATTGCTAAGTTGCAAACATGCAAACTTTAATTCTATTTTTCTCAAAAAGTGAAAATTTCAAGTTACGTTGTTTTGCCGCAGAACGGCCGCCCACCACATTTGAAGACTCCAACATACGCCACTCCTTTCCTACAAATATTATTACCCAGTATTTTAAATTTAGTGTTCTATATTTCAAATGCAGTCTTTATGTTGTACAGGCATACTTTTTTCTGTTTCATTATACTGAGAGCATTACTCTTACCATTAAATTCTGCATATACCTGAACAACTTGTTTGCAATGCTGCCCTCCTTTTAGGTCCTTCAAATTCTCCGCTTGACTCATAGAAGTAATTGGGGATGGATAAGCTTTGAGGGCAGCAGATGCCTTCCTGAATGCAAGTGCACGAGAGTTATTATGCTCATCAGTTAAGAACTCAGCATGTTTCTCAAGAACTTCCAAAGCATTCTGTAAAATGAAGACATTTAATTTGTTTTGAAGTTATATTCAACATTTCCCCCCCGGGGGGGGGTTTTGTGGGGGGGGGGGGTTTCCAGGCTAGACCCAGTCCCCTTTTTGCAAATTAAAAAAAAAATGAAAGAAAAAGAAATTATTTGCACAAATTGCTTCAGAGGTTATTCCCGGGCATCTAGACAAAAAAAATTAGGTAGTGTTGTCTCTCGATTGCTGCCCCCCCCCCTTTCGGGCATATCTAGATCCGCCTCAGCACCCAGTGTAATACAGAAAATTGTTACACAGTTAGAGTGCTTATCATTTAGATCATTTCAAAAATGGGTTCAAATCATGTAGAGATCATAATTTTTTACGAATTTAAATGACGACAACAAATATATCTTGAAGAGCTTTGACAGAGATAAAATTTAATTAAGTTATTCTATAAGTGACATTAATTGATACTTACTGTTAACTTTCGATTTGTGTGACTGACAGGAGTTGACCTCTGACATGCATATTTTGCATTTTGGTAATAATTTTTCTTAGTTTTTCTGTCATCAAGTGATTTAGTCTGTGGTCCAAAAACAATAGAGTATAATGAGCAGGCAACAGGCCGAGGGATAGTTAATCATTAAAGATATGCGAACATGCAAAACTTTAAAATCACTAGAGAATAGTTAAATAAATACATTGCTCATCTTGTATTCTTCATCAGTAAGTTTATAGTTTTAGTTTTGCTGACAATTTGTGCAAAAAAATGTTTTCGAAACTTGTTTTTTATCTGTGGCATACTGAGAGATAACCTATGTGATTCTTTAAAATAAATAGGCAGTAAGATTTCCTTTTCTTATAAACTTTTTGGGTGGCTTTTACTATAAATAATAAAGTTAAATATTTTCACCTGAAATCAATTTGCAGAAACAAGGCATCAATTTCTTATTTAGTTGCAGTAACACAGACACAAATCAGCCCTTCCAAGGTAAAGCAATGTATTTGCACAAAAATATAATAGCAGTGACATTGTTTTCCCATGGGACAGTTGCATAGTATAAATAAACTACAATACAATGCCTGGTATGTGCTTTATCTAGAAACATAAAATGGCTCTAACTTGCCTTGTCAATCTTTCTTTCTGACGGCAGCCTGTATTCGTCCGTAACAAGAATAGCATCATTAGCCTCCATACAGCTTACAAACCATTGTACTGACAATATTTCACACGAAGGCAACAAATTGCTGTAATTTTTCGTTAAACTTTCAACCACTTCATCTCTTGTCGAAAGCTCTGACACAATGTGTGTGACCTTTTCACTGAAAAGAACAAAGAAAATAGTAATAGTGGTAATAATTAGTAGAATAGTAGAAGATGCACATAAATTGTTTACTGTACAAATATAATAATAATAATAATAATACAACAGAACTTATAAAGCGCCTATTAAAGTTAAAATAAAAAATAACTTGCCAAAATTGCTAGGAGAAAAATTGAAAAAACAGCAGCAGAAGAATCCCATGAACTGATGAACTGATTAGTGAAGATTACATAAAAAAAGGTAGGTTTTAAGTTATAAATATAAAATTCAAGTGTTTTTTTCCTCTTTTTACTTGTTGATCAATGATATCCTTTATTCACTCAGAACAAAAGAATGAACATTTAATGATTCTCAGTAGTAAACTAAGTCTCGTCTTTACAAGCATCGGCCTGACTCAGGTCATTACAACAATAAGTTACATCTTACTCCTACTACAAAAACAAGGCATAAATTCCTGCTTTATCTAGTTTAATTAAAAACTCAAGCAAAATCTGGACGTTAAAAATCAGAAAATATAGGCCTAGGCCTATATTCCTAGAGTAAAGCATTCACTAACTAATTTTAGTAATAGTTTTACTGCCAGATAATTGTAGACATGAACTCATTTCAAGTAGGCCACTAGATCTAGGCCTAGGCACCTTGTTGGAGGTCACTTCTGAGAAGGTTTCAATCCGTCCGGCCGTACACCCTTACCTCATTTTTTCCGTCACCTCGAAACCCTTTCTTCGCGCTAACCTTTTCATGTGATCAAGTCTCACATTCTGGATTTTCAATGGTAATATGAAAATGCATACGCCTTCAAATTTGATACTCAACTTATCATGAGTCGTTTCTAGCTTCGCTTTTTTCTTCTTAGGTGCAAACATTCTCAATCTTTAATCCATTTATCCAGACCTAGGCCTAGGCCTTACGTTATTATTTTGTTTGAAACATGGGCGCTGCCATGTTTGCCTCGCACAAAGACTTTTTAAAAGTATTGTGGTTATACTGATATAGCAGATATTCTAATACTTATATTTTAATAATATTAGTACGTATAAGTATTATTTTAAAGTTTATTATTAACTTATTTAAATAACAATCTTGAATTAAGTTTTTTTTTTAAATAGTGTACAAAATTGTTTTTAATAAACCTCCATGTTTCGATAGGTACGTATCATATAAGGCTAAGCGGTGAGTTATGGTTGTTTCAAGTGATTTAGTGTAAATGGGCCTAAAATCCGTTATAAAGTGAACGTCTTTGTACCTTTGTTCATATTCCATTTATGACGATGATATATTTAATGAACTTTATGTTTAACATGTATATTTTGCAAACCGTAGCTAGGGCTACGCTAGTCGACGATATTGGGTGGAGTATCAACTCCGAATACACTCAACTCCCTGGTTGGAGCACTATATAGTATAATACCTCCATGGTTGGAGTCATCAAAGATCAAGGAAGGTACCAAACAATGCATCCACATCTCTAGGCCTAGGTGATACCTGATGGCCGTCCTCAAAATAATTATGTACGGTGCTTCACTGTATAGTATACCCATTTAAACCAGATATATTATTTACTTAAATTTTTTGCTATTGCTAGTTGTTAGAATGTCATTATTTAATTACAGCAGGGAGTTGGGCATGTGTAATGAATGAAGGCTTACGCATGCCCTACAGCAGAAACGTTCTGATTTTACAGTACTGTATATATTTTTTTTTTACGAATGAATAGGCCTAGGCCGATTATGATGACGTGAACAACTCAAAACACTTCAGAAAATATGAGTAAAATTCAAGAAAACGGAGGTGAGGCACCAAAGACCAAACCTGGGTTAAGTGGCGTAAGAACAACAAATTTCTTTCGTGTATTCAACTTTGAACTGTTTGTAAAACCTGTAAGTAAACTTTTTTTTCAAATAGTGTGTGTCCACTGGCTGCAATAAGTTATATGTAGTTCAACCTGATACTGTTGACTGGAATATGAATGAAGGCTTACACATGCCCTACAGCAGAAACGTTCATAGTTCTTAATTTGACCAAAGTGTTCTGTTTGGTTTCCGTTAAAATCTACTCAATGGCTATATTATTCAACCATTCAACTTGGCATATGTAAATATTTGCTTTAGGTATGGCATAGGTGTGTATTTCACCCTAGGTTTAGTATCAACAGGTTCATTTCGCAGTTTTTTACAACGTGATCAACAAAACATGAGTCTTTTGTTTGTTTACTGGCTGTATTTAAATCCCTTTTGTATCATATTCTTGTAGAATAAAGTTGTTATGGGACTTGGACTTACTGCAATAACTGGCTGTGTGTGTTACATCGCTTATATGAACGCCATGAGTGAGAACAAACAAGATCAGCTCTATGAACAATTTAATGAAGATGGTACAACAAGAATTAGGAGGAGAACATCAAGATGGGACTGAAGTCGTGGATTCTAAAGGTTACTTTACATTCTTGGAGGATGTTGCTGTTTATCTTAAAAAAGGGACCTGAACCCGGAACTATCAAGAGGAAATAAGGCACCGTCTTTGACAGGTTGCTTAACCTCACGATATCCATGCCATAGCACAACACTGAACATTTTAGTGGATGAAAGAAATTCACAGAAGACCTTGTACAGTATATCTAAAATGTGTAGGCCCTGCAAAATCTCAGCACTGTTGTATAATTAAAGTGCTATAAAAGGAATTTAAGTGCAGTAATTATTGGTATAGTGTATGGCAATAGAATAAAGAGTAATATCAACAGAACCGTTTAGTATGAATGGCTTTACTTTGTGTATTTGTTTAATGCCACACCATCCCCAACCTTTTTTTTAAATATTTGTTATTGAAAAAAACGCTTCCCTATACCATGGGTGATGCAGGGGAGGGGGGGGGGTCGGGAAGGTCGTACGACCAGCAAAAAAAAATTTCAAAGGTCTACATTTTTTCCAATGGCATAAATGAAAAGCATTGATGAGGTACCAGCATTAGAACTCATTTATTATATGAGACTTTAAACTGCTCATAGGTATCAGCAGTGCCTATAATATTTTTCACCAAGGAATGAACGTCCTCAGTCCGTCAATTCGGCAGCAATTTCTATTAAAAAAAAAAATTGTATTGACATTTTAATCACATCTTGATCGTGATAATTAACATTATAATCATCGTCATCATCATAATCAAAAAGATTCACTATACGTTTTGGCAAAATATTATATATTATATACCGGTACCAATTATAATCACCATCATGATTAACATTATCATCATAATTATTATACAGTCATCATGAAAACAATAAATACACAGGAAATCCATCCACCACTTTTAGAACCGCTTTGGTCTCAAATTATAAAATAAGAATACAGTAGAATAAAAAGAGAAAAGATGGGGTGTATCAAAGGCATCTGAAAAGTGTTTCTAATTGGAGATATGCCCTTTTTTGAAAGAATCTACCTTAGAGAACCTGTACTTAATGATAATTGATAAAAATAACACAATAACTAGGCCTGTTACAATAATAAGATAATATATATCATCCTTGACACGGATATACCGCCTTCTTAATCATAAAACAGGTCTCTATCTGATATATAGGCCTACTATTCAACATTTTATTAAATTAATTTGATTCAACAGCAACAACATTATTATTAAGAGTACTTAAAACATAATAACAAGGCTTTGTATTTTATGACTTACGCATTTAAATGTGCGAGTTAAATGTCTTTAAATTAAGAATACGATTTGGTGTAAAAGAAAAATCCATCCACCACTTTTAGAACCGCTTTGGTCTCAAATTATAAAATAAGAATACAGTAGAATAAAAAGAGAAAAGATGGAGTGTATCAAAGGCATCTGAAAAGTGGTTTCTAATTGGAGATGCCCTTTTTTGAAAGAATCTACCTTAGAGAACCTGGACTTAATGATAATTGATAAAATTAACACAATAACTAGGCCTATTACAATA